GGGGTATTACGCGGCGCCGTGTTTTATTGGCTTGAGAATTAAGTTTTGTGCTTCTTATATCGTGTATATCCGCGGTGCACTCCGCAAAAAAAAACAACAAAAAACGATCATGGAGACTTCAGATGCTGATTTGAGGGGTGGAGGAGTGAGTTGGATTTGGTGAAGGGGGGAGGGAGGTGAAAGGAGTGGTATCAGAAATAAAGCAGAACGCAGCGGGAGGAGCTGCTGGCTGAAACGAGTAACGTGGTGTGCATCGGAAGCAGGCAGTGGGAGAGGGACAGGCGCAAAGAGGAGAGAGAGGGGGAGAGCGAGTAGGAGAGTGAGAGAGAGAGGCAGAGAGCAGCGAGAGGGAGGCGGAAGAGAAAGAGACGGCCCATGGAGGTGATGGAGAGAAGGGTGCGGTCTGGCGCAGGGGGCGGGTTTGGGGAGGGGAAAAGTGGCCGGGAGGAGAAAGAGGGAGGGATTGCAAGCAGAGAGAGGAAAGGAAGGGGGAGAGGGGGGGGGGCAAAAGTCTGGTCTACTGGGATCGGAAGCGAGATGGGCTCTTAGATGAATAGAGAAACGGCGAGAGAAATATCACACAAACCCTGGTAGCAGAAAGCGACGGATGTGCATGTGGGCCACGGGGGCCACGCGTACAATTGCGCGAGGGAGAGACCTCAGTCTCTTTTCCTGCTTCCGTTTCTCTCTCTCTCGCTCTCTCTCGCTCTCTCGTTGTGGGGATAGGGTTGGTCCCCCGCCGCGCACGGCCGCCCCAAGTTTGGACAGCCCCGTATTTTTCTCGTGCCCCCTTTCATTCGCGTGGGCCGTGTACAGCAGGTGGCCCCCTCTTCCCCAATCGAATGCGAAAGGGGCGCAACTCCTGTAGCGGCGGCCGTGAGATACGGCGGTAACCACCCGGCCGGGGTCCGGGCCGGAACCGGCGCGGGCTGCGAGGGTCCACGGGCACGGGACGGACGGACTGCGAATTTCCATACGCATGGGGCCGTGCGGCCGACTGTCGTTCGCGCGCGCGCGGTAGCGAGCGAGGGAGAGAGGGAGAGAGATAGAGGGAGACAGAGGGCGAGGGAGGTGGGAGTCACGGGGACGTATATATGTAGGGTTAGGAGAATGTTATGTGGTGTTGTACTGATAGAAATCTCTACGCACCCATACACTCTGCTCGCACAGGCAGAGAGAGAGAGAGAGAGAGAGAGAGAGAGAGAGAGAGAGAGCGAGCGAGCGAGCGAGCAGCATGGCCCCTTGCGCCCTGCACTGGGCTATAGATACACTGACTCACATTATTTCATATCAACAATAAATTTGCTCCGTCAACAAAGACAACTTTTTTTTCCGCGCATATTTTTACCTTCCGTGTGGCGTTCATGGGATCCGGGCGTTCATTGGGGTGCGAGGCGAGGGTTGAACGTCGAATCCCGCGAGCTGCGCCAACGACACCTGTGCGGGCGATGTCCTCTCTCGGCCCCTCGGCCCCATCTCCCCCTCCCCCCTCATCATATTTATCCACATGCCCAAGCCTTCCTCTCGCCCCCTGCTGCTCTCTCCCTCTTTCACACACGGCCTCACCCCCTCACCGCCCCCTCTTACTTCTGCCCGCTGGCGTATGGCATTGGGCACCACACCCTCTCTCCTGCCCCCTTTCTGCCTCTCCCCGGTATTGGCTTCCACGTCATTTCCAGACCATAAAACGGCCGAGTATCGGGGTGTCCGGTCGGCCGCGGTCTCTCTCTCTCTCTCTCTCTCTCTCTCTCTCTCTCTCTCTCTCTCTCTCTCTCTCATGGCTGTGCTCTCCTGGCGCTGCCTCCCTTCGTGGTGTGGCGCGTTGCCGAGCGGACTGAGTCCATGATGAGCCCATGAGCCTGTATGGACCTGGGCCCCGGGGGGCTGGTTCCGCCGCCCCCGACCACACGGGGACGTTGCCACGTGGCCCTCGCACTTGCGCCGGAAGGGCGAATTATATTTACTAGTGGAGGAGGGGGGGATCAGGTTATTCGAACCGCTGCTTGCCATCTTTCGCGCTCTCTCTTATCCGAGCTGTATAAAGTCTGCTCTGTCTCTCTCCAACGACGTCAAAGAGATAACGACCCGTGTATTTGTTTATTTGTACATTTTAAAATAATTAGGTTGAATATGTGCAATTTAAATATGTGATGGCGGGACATCTCTCCCTTCCGCTGTTCTAAATCGTTCTCTTTTTAAAAGCCGTACTTCGCTCCGCTGTAGCATGAAAATCGTCGATTCATCATCCGTGACATCTCTGTGTCGTGTGTCGACCGAAAAAAATATGGCTATAGTAGGTGTGTTCAACACTGACCTTTCTCTGTGTGCTCCCGTTCCATATTTCCGAATTTTCGCTTTGACGTCTGCCGGAAATCCGGACACGGCATGCACATGCCGCATGCCTGGGAGCGGGAGCTGGGAGGGAGGGGTTGTTTGTACGAGGGAGAGAGCGAGTGGGTTGACAACGAAACACAAAGACGGAGGAGAGAGAGAGAGGTAAAAGTGCCGCCCTGCGTCCTATACTGCTTGGTCCTGCTTTCCAAAGCTGTTTCAGTAAAACCACTCTGGCAAAACAGAGGACTTTTCACGTTTTGACGGTAGTAAAGCTTTTGGTTGGTTTTGCTGCAACCGTTAACGCGACCAGAGTATTTCAATACGGGTTCACGGTAAAAACGATGTCTCATTTTTTTGAGGAAAAAGGGAACTTTAAGGACCTGCCATTATTTCGAGGAAAACTCCTCAGACCTCGCTTTAAATTTTTAGGAACGTCCTCAAAAAATGAGGAAAAATTCCACAATTTTGAGAAGACTTCCTCGAAATCTGAGGAGCCTTCCTCAAAGCAAGGTAGTTCCTCAAAGTTTTCCCTTTCCTCTCGAAAAACGAGACATTGCTTTTACCGTGTTTCTGTATGTCAAAACGTAACGTTGTTACCGGTTGTTACGTTTGGACTGTCGCAGTTCGCTTCATTTGTACGCGTTTAACCGTACAACGCGAGAGTGTTTGAGAGGGAGAGAGGACGAGGAGTACGGGCGGACGGACGCGGTTGGCTGCTCGTGGGAATCGTAAAGCTCAGGCAATAAACATTTGCATGCCGACGGAAAAAAAGGGATTGCACCCTGTAAGACATGTTCTGGCGCGGTAAAGCGAATGCCGTGTTTTCTTGACAGTACAAAAAACCCTTGCAGACCTGCTGAATCTAAAAGTTTGATACGCACCAAGATATGCGTACATAGAGTAGTCGTTAGTATTTCAGCGCATCAACGAAAAACATACCACGCTTTACTCACATTACCATACTCTATCGAGCTGCACCACCAAGTAAATCTTTTCCGATACGTGTTCATTTTATGTCGCCGACGCATCGCGTCGTGTCGTCTCTGTGTATAGATTTACGAGTTACGCGGAACCGGCGTCTCGTCTCAAGTACTGTCCTCCACGCCCTGTCGCGGTTGTCGTCTGTTGCTATATGGAGAGGGCACAGTTGGGGCATCCATTCGGATGAGACAAGTCTTTTAGGGCGTGGCGTAGCGCGGCGCGGCGCTGAGGGCTATGGGGACAATGCGGAGCGTGTCCCCCGGCGCGGCGTGGCGCGGCGTGGTGCGGCGACGGCCGCCGGCGGCGGCTGCTCCACCACGCTGTACTGCTCGCGCCAGCCCGCCTGATAGCCGAGGCCCGCCCCAGTGGCGCAATCGGTTAGCGCACGGTACTTATAGGACAGTGTTCGTGTGAGCAATGCCGGGGTTGTGAGTTCGAGCCTCACCTGGGGCAGGATTTTTTTGGGGTTATACTTTTACAAGTCTCAAAAGTTTGGCAGCGCACTTACTACGTTATTGCACCCATTTCGCCATGCCTTACATTAGTCTTGCGCACCGTATTTGCTAAAATGTAATCATAAATCCTTATATAGCGCCGACTTTATGTTTTTCGTTTCTG